CCAGCACTCTTCTCACTTTGCAGGCCCTCCCTAAACAATGTGAGCGACTCTTGGGCATCTTTATCCATATCTGTATTTCTGACCCCTGCCTCCAGTGTCCCCAGACTCATACCCCCTCCTCCTCACTGTGGAGCTATACTTGTAGAGCTCTCACAGGAACCAGAAATCCCCAAGTCAAAAAATGGAGGTGATCATCCTGCCCCTTCCCTCTCCTGCTTCCCTAACCTAACTGTTGTCTACATGTATTTCACACCAGCTAAAGTCATGGTCTTCTACCCTCACAGGAGCCATAAAGTGAGGAGTCAAATTCCAACTCCCTGTTTCCTCTCACTCCATGTCCACGGCCAGCAAGTTCTGCTGATTTGCCCTCTAAACAACCCTTCAGTTTGCCCCTTTATTTCTTAACTCATTCAACAGCCTCAATTTACACTCAGGCACGGAGCTGCAGAAAGGGAGTTTCTGGACACAACAGTCCACATCTCTCTAAAATTTCTAATGTCCATGGAAACAGGATTCTAGGTGCACTTTGCAGTGAAGACCTAAGTTCACCTTTTCACACACACAGCCCTACTTTGCCTTGAGCCCCTCAGCATTCTGCCTTATTTAATATTCACCCAAACTCCACCCTTACCCCAAATCCTGTAACTTTCTCTTCCTTTGTTTGGTTGAGATACCCCATGGGGTGTAGTCTGTATTGTTGCAATGAGTCAACAAACCCAACTTTGTCAACAACGTATGGGGAGCACCTACCATGAGCCAGACACTGTTCTAGGGACTGCAAATATAGCAGTGCATGCTATAGCTCCTTAAAATAATTTGTGTCTTTTTATTTATCCCTCTCTCTAGATTGCCTTATGATCTGTGTATATGTACAGAGAAATGTCTGAAATCATGTTCACCAGATACTTCCCTGTATACCCCTATCACATCGTCCATCCTCTGTCAATCCCATGCCCCATTATATTCAGATGAAACGCTTCTGTAGCTAAGATGTGGAAACTGCCCAGGTGCCCATCAGCAGATGCATGGATTTAAAAAAGCTGTGGGCCATTTACACCATGGAAAACTTTGCAGCGGCAAAAAAGAGGGCTCTCTTGCAGGGACGTGGAGAGCATTACGCTAAGCGAAATAAGCCAGTCTGAGAAAGACAGGTATCACATGATCTCACTCACATGTGGAATCTAATGAACAAAGTACATTAGAACACATTGGAACACACTGGCGAATCTCAGAGGGGACGGGTTGGGAGGGACGGGAAGAGATTACCCAAAACACTTGTGTGCGTAGCCCATGGACACAGACAACAGTGCCGTAAAGCCTGGGGGCTGGGTGACGGAGGGAAAATGGGAGACATCTATAATACTCTCCACAATTAAAAAAAACCATCAACAAATACAAAGAAATGTTTCTGTAACATTTGAGTTCCTCACAAGACTCACCTGAGCGAAGGAGCGAGTGGAAATCCTCAGTGGGGATTTCTCGAGCCACTCGTTTTATTCCTCCAGCATCCTGTCAAAAGCACGAAGAGGGCGGTGACACGTGACATTTATCTCCAAGGATCAATGCCTCACTCGAGAAATTCCTGTGGCTGCCCCGCTCGCGCGTGCGGCAGGTACGCACTGTACGACAGGTACGCACTGTACGACAAAAAAGAACTACAACTCCCATCAGGACATTCGGGACCATGGCCCTAAATATAACTCAGGAACTACCATTCCCGTGATGCTCCGCTTCGTACGTCTGCGCAGAGCGATCAGGACATGGGACCATGGCCCTAAATATAACTCAGGAACTACCATTCCCGTGATGCTCCGCTTCGTACGTCTGCGCAGAGCGCAAGGACACGTTGCATTTGCGGCGCCGCAGACCACGCACGCATCTCAGCATGGCTTCCGCGGACTCTCGACGAATGGGGAATGATGGTGGTGGTGGTGTCGGGGGCGCCTTCCAGCCCTACCTGGACTCCTTGCGGCAGGAGCTGCAGCAGAGGGACCCGACGCTGCTGTCAGTCGTGGTGGCGCTTCTCGCGGTGCTGCTGACGCTGGGTAAAGGGGCGGCGGTGCTTATGGAGGGTGCAGGGCGGGGGAGTCCGGGCTTGGACTGGGAGGATGCCGGGCGGAGAAGGCACCTGGGGGGCGTCTATAGAGGGAGACTCACCCCTGAGGACACACTGTCCTCCTCCCCGAAGCAGGGGGAGCAACGCTGAGTTAAAGGGGAACCCTCGCGACCCTCGAAGGGATGTTCTAGTCCCCGGGGAACGGATTACTCTTCTTCAGCCTCTGTTCAGCCTGAGGGTGTGTTACCCCCTTATATTGCGTTTACTGCCAAGGCTCACAGGGCCTCTACTTCAAGTTTGAGCGTCGCGTGTTTTTGCCTGCAAGGCGCTGGGGATACAGAATTTATTAGACTACATTGCACTGAGAGAGTCCACTGTCGGAGTGCAGGGGGTGCACACAAAAGTTGATATTGGATAGTGGCCGGTACCCAGTGGGGTCTGTACAACAATAACAATAAAAGTAAGTTTCCTATACTAATAATTGCGGCATTCTGTTGTAGACTTCTGTTAATTTCCTCACTTTACACACACACTGTTGCTGATAAGGCCTAACCTTGGTTCTTCTTGTCTCTCCCCACAGTGTTGTGGAAGTTCATCCGCAGCAGAAGGAGCAGTCAGAGAGCCGTTCTTCTCGTTGGCCTTTGTGACTCCGGGAAGACATTGCTCTTTGTCAGAGTAAATGCTTTTGGTTTACATCTCTCGCAAACCTGATAGGAAAATTTAGGGATTCCCATTATTTCTGTCAGGTTATGATTTATTTTGGAGAAGAAACTGATGCTGATAAATTGGGGAGTTGATTCTTGACGCACTTGGAAGGACAAGAAGACTCCTGAAAACTCATGAACTGGATTTTTTTTTTCTTTTTACCATTTCTATTTTCTTGTGCTTACCAAATACTAATATTTAGTCCTTATCCCATTTAAAGGTTTTATGTAACCACTTTCATGCTATGGCTAAGGATGCCAGAACTCCTGGAAAGATAGAAGACATTGATCTGTATATGGTGTAAATCCATCGTGCAGTATACTCTCCTGATAGCTTGTCAAAGAAAAATTTTGAAAGGGTGATTCTTTGTCATTGGGCTCCTTAGGTTTCTTTTCACAGATAATATTTGTAATCTGTTTAGTATTTTTGCTTGTTTTTTGCTATGGAAAGTAGCAGAGATGTTCTCATTATTCTTCCTTTTGAGAGTATAAAAGATTTTCCTTCCAATAAAGAAATATACTCTTTAAGTATTTTCGTAATTAAAAATGTGTAGGGACAGGTGGTAAATTTGGCCACTAACCATTTGAAATTCTTATTTGAAAAAAGCATGGGTTTCCCCACCCCTCTCAGTTGGGTAAAAGGGAATAAAGTTTGCAATAAATTAGACCTTTTTTTTTCTACAAGTAAAGGGGGAAAAAAATCAGCATGGTTCTTTTCACCTTTTGCAAGCAACACTCATTTATTTGACCACTTAGGAGCGTTAGAACAAAATTACTCTCTTAAAGTTTGCTATTTACATGTTTACGCTGATCTCACCCATGTTACTATTTTTTTTACAGTTGTTAACGGGACTTTACAGAGACACTCAGACTTCCATCACTGACAGCTCTGCTGCGTACAGAGTCAACAATTCTAGGGTAAGCAGTTCCTAGAATGTTGGGAGTCTTGACCATTTTACTTCACTATGGTGTGTCAGGAAAGGACATTTCTAACATAAATTAGTCTAAGGGTGTAGCTTATTGTTATGGATAAATATAATCCAATCCATGTGACAAATTCTGGTCTTGACCGTCCAGGCAACAGATTTAATCATGCCCCCTCTCCTTTGTTGTACCTCACGTACACTGATGTTACATCACATTTTATTAGTCTTTGTTTCTGTGTCTTAAGGGTGAGCATCAAGCCTTTCTCTTTTCATTTATGCTTTATAATACATGTATATGGGACAAAAATTCAAAATGTTAATAAGGATCTTTGGTGAAAAGTAATTTTGCCTTTCCTGTCCCTACTACTGAGTCTTCTCCTTAGAGGTAATAACTTCCCATATCCTGTGTACCCTTTCAGGTGGTCTATGCATATACAAACATATCTGTATATCCTTTAATTTTTTTGCTGTACCATACAATTTAGTTCTTATTTAATAAGAGCCCTATTAACAGACATTTAGTTTGTTATAATCTTTTGCTTTACATACAATGTTGCAGTGGATATCTTAAAGAGTATACATGAGTATATTTCAAAAAATACCAGTAAGGAGTCATGAGAAAGACTTTTTACATACCTATGTAGCTCTAGGATGTCAATAGTGACTATCAAGCCAATTATAATGCTTAGTATTTGGTGAGTGAGTAGAAGGAAGTCTGGGTGGCTGATTGGAGAGGTAGATATATAGATGGATGAATTAAAATGGTGATCTTAGCCCTGGCCAACATGCTCAGTGGTTAGAGTGTTGAACCTTAGCTCTAAGGGTCGAGGGTTTGATTTCCATCAAGGGCACATACCTGGGCTGCAGGTTCGTCCTACCCTGGGTCAGGGTGCATGCAGGAGGCAACCAATCAATGTGTCTCTCACATCTATGTTTCTCTTTTTCTCTCTCTCTATCTCCTGCTCTCCCTCCCTTTCTCCCTTTCTCCACCCTTCCCTTCTACTCTCTGTAAAAAAAAAAAAATACATGTCTTGATTTTTTAACATTATATGTTAAAAGGATAATATTTGAAATAGAGGGTGCGACAAAAGTAGTTTTGCAGTCGTGAGTACATGAAAGAGTTTATTCTTGTATTATTTTCCCCACCCTGTGTGTTGGATTAAATGATATATATTATTAATATTACCTATTTCTTTTTACTTCTTTAAGGTGGTTTTCAGAAAGCTTAACGTTACATCTGAAACTTAAATATTTCTATTAAATATGTAGAAATTCCTCCCTTCTTTTTTTTACTGCTTCTCTTACCCCCTTATGTTTTAGTTTTAGTCTCTCTGTCAGGATAGTAATGCATCTATGGATTATTTAATAGTGTTTGCTGCTGTGCTGATTATGAAATGTGGTAGTGGGTCCCAACCTGAGGTCCTTAGACTCTTACCTGTATTTAAAAAAAAAATACACATCATATTTTTGTCCATAAAAGACTGCACAGACTAAGTGACAGGTCATAATAAGTCCAGCTATATTTATGTCAAATCCGAGTGATACTGACTCCCTCCTGCTAAACAATGATTAAGGATGGCTATGGATAAGGTAGAGTATCTGAGAAATGGTTCATGGGTCTGACGATACGTGTACCAGAGCTGTATCTGAGAGTCTTGCCTGTGAGCATTGTCACATCTACATTGAACCTGAGCTCAAGGATGAAGGTCTGGAATGAATAGCACTTAAATGGTGCTTAATGACTCTGCTCAGTAGGGCACAGTCCTCCCTGTTTAAATGATTGTCATCTGGATCAAGAATTGACACAAAATATCGACAGTTAGAACAAATGGTGTGTCTGGTAGACATATTTAAAATTAAATTATAGTGGAAATGTAAAAGAATGTTTTGTTATAAAAATTGGGGATCCCTGTAATGGTAACATGCTATATGGTAACATATAGGGTGTTATATTATTTAGTTTTGCTATTATTTATACTAGTGTATTTCCCCAGCCTCAGATGGACCACACTTCCCTGACTCCCCAGACAGGGCCAGGTTTTCCCATGTACCCTCAGACCACGTATCAGAGTTGTAATTTTACATTTACGTATATGTAATTTTACATTGTGTTGATCTTTCTGATCATAAGGCCTGTTAGAGCAGGGACCATATCTGTTTTTGCTCATTGTTCCTTGACTGATGATTTATAAATAGAAGATGCTTGGTGAACATTTGATTCATTGATTAATTAGAGTGAACATTTTTTGATTAATTAATTGGCCACTATTCTGGTACCTGAAATCTGATATGAAAGGTTTATGTTGTGAATGTGAATCAGGACCAAAACATTAATTTAATGTTATTGCTGCCATCCTTAGGGCACTAACCTGACCTTGATTGACCTCCCTGGCCACGAGAGCTTGAGACTTCAGTTCTTAGAGCGGTTTAAGGCTTCAGCCCGGTGAGTAGGAAGTGGAATGGGCTTGCCTGAAATCTGTATGTCAAAACATGTTTGCTCTGATGGTATTTGGGAAGCATCTGGTATCCTGGAGTGTAAAGAGCATGGACCCTGGGGTCAGCCAGTTCTGGGTTGTATACCTACCTTCACTAGGATTTTATGAGGATTATGTGAGGTAACATTTGACCTGTTTCTCAAGAGTGTTCATAAAGTGTTAACCCTTACCATCATGTTAATAAAGTTTTCAGTTACTCTGGGGACAAATTTAATAATGCATAGAACTATTAAAATCTGAAAGAAGAATCTTAAAGGTAAGTGGAATCCTAGAAGTTATTAAAATCCAACGTTATATATTTTTAAATTACCTAAAATTGATACCTCCAAAGTACAGAACTGTATTTTCATGTTTTAGTATTGTTCTAATGTTACTAACTCTTATTTCCTAAAATTCTTGTGCTACCGTTTAAGATGCTTATTCTTACTTAGTTTCTAACTCTGATAAAAACTCAAGAGGAAAATTAATATACTAGATTTCACTGATTTTTAAGACACATTTTAAATATCTATTAAATTGAAATGCTACTTACAGTTGATGGTATCATAGTTATAATTCGCAGTATTTTTTCTTTCTTAGTTGTACCTGAAATAATAATGTCTTTTAATTGATGGAATCTTAAGTTTGATGGAATGAGATAGTTGTTTTTTTACTTATTTTTTGAAGATGTTTGACTTACATTTTATTGCTTCCTTGGCCACAAGATGGTGCTAATGAGCAATCTAGTACAGATGAGACTGTTGGTGTGATTTTAAAAACCAATTTTTTTAGAGCAGTTTTAGGTTCACAGCAAAATGTAAACAGAAGGCATAGAGATTTCCCATATATCCCTGTCCCCACACATGGATAGCCTCCCCTGTTGTCAACATCCTCCACCAGATTGACTCAGTTGTTCCAATTGATGAACCAATGTTGACATATCATAATCACTGAGTCTATATTTTACATTAAGATTCACTTTTGGTGTTATATAGACTACAGATTTGAACAAATGTATAATGACATGTATTCACCATTATAGTATTATACAGAGTATTTTCACTGCCCTATTGATTCCATTTCTTTAATAGTTGTAGGCCTATTCAGGTTGTTTATTTCTTGTGAGAGTTTTGGTAGGTTGTGTCTTTCAAGGAATTGAACCATTTTACTAAGTTATCAAATATGTCAGTATAGAGTTGTTCACATTATTCTTTGATAATCCATGGGATCTATAGTAATATCCTCTTTCATTTCTGATATTAGGAATTTGTGTCCTTTCTCTTTTCTTAGCCTGGCAGAAGTTTATCAGTTTTATTGTTGATTATTTTTTCAGAGAACCAGCTTTTGGGTTTGTTGGTGTTTTCTATTGATTTCCGGTTATCAATTTCATTGATTTCTGCTGTAACTTTCATTATTTATTTTCTCCTGCTTATTTTAGATGTGATTTGTCTTAATTTTTCAAGCTTCCTAAGGTAGTAGCTTAGTTTATTGATTTTAGTTTTGTCTTCTTTTCTAGGATATGCATTCATGCCATAAATTTCAGAGTATAGAATTCTATTGTTGGGATGGATTTTTCTCTTAAAGAAAAATTAAGGATATAATTTTTTAATATTAAATGCTGTTGAATGCTGACATGTCAGTTTTTCATTTCCCCCCCTCCAGGGCTGTTGTGTTTGTTGTGGATAGTGCAGCCTTCCAGCGAGAGGTGAAGGATGTGGCCGAGTTTCTATATCAAGTCCTCATTGACAGCATGAGTCTGAAGAACGCACCATCATTCTTAATTGCCTGCAATAAGCAAGGTGCCATCACATTTTCTGGCAATAATAATTGAGGTTTTCCTGGGATTGCTACTAAGAATTAGTATAGTTACCTAAGTTATTATTCATGAGGAGAGATAATTGCTAATGAGCTATAAATTGAAGGATATTAATTCTTAAAATTTATACTCCTGCATTTTTATTAATATTATCATCTTACTTTAAGGCATGACAAAGGAGTGACTATAATAATTGTTTCTTTGATACAGTGTTTTGCTTTTTTAAAATTGTAAGTCATTTTACTTTACCTAGTTAATTTTATCAGATTGACAATATGTCATGTCAGATACTCAACTGTGGAGGGACAAGTAGAATCTCTCCTTTCAAACAAGTTTATCATCTATATTTCATCAAGGGGAGTTTGCAGAAGCTTTTCTTTAACCTGGTAACGATTAACTTTTTAGTCACACCCAATAAACCTAGGCTTCAGTTTCATTACTTCTAAAATAAGGTAGACTAGTTGATCTTTATAGGCCTCTTTCAAATCTGAACATCTGATTCTGTGAAGAGCCCAAATGCATTTCTAACAAGTGATCAGGTAACCTAACAATGCCAAATCAGGAATCCGTCTTAGGATCATTACCTGACTTCTCTTTATTTCTCCTATTCAGTATAACAAGAGGGGTAATATTTATTTGGCTTTAGCTGTGTGCCAAACCAGTGTTTGTTTCTTTTTTTTAAAAAAGATATTTTATTGATTTTTTACAGAGAGGAGGGGAGAGGGTTAGAGAGTTAGAAACATCAATGAGAGAGAAACATCGATCAGCTGCCTCCCACACACCTCCAACTGGGGATGTGCCTGCAACCAAGGTACATGCCCTTGACTGGAATCGAACCTGGGACCCTTCACTCTGCAGGCCAATGCTCTATCCACTGAGCCAAACCAGTTAGGGCAACCAGTGCTTGCTTCTTACCAATGTGCACTTGATGCTGTAACATACCATTTTAATATCAGTTGGCAATATGCTTAGTTTACTTTTATATGACGGGATGTTTCTGTTGGAGTGAAGACTCTTGTTAAAAATCATAAAATTGGTAAAGTTTTGTTTTTGTTACATTGGCAGGAATTATATATATGTTAAATTAAAAGATCTGTAAGGGCCGAAACCGGTTTGGCTCAGTGGATAGAGCGTCAGCCTGCGGACTGAAAGGTCCCAGGTTCGATTCCGGTCAAGGGCATGTACCTGGGTTGTGCGCACTTCCCCAGTGGGGGATGTGCGGGAGGCAGCTGATCGATGTTTCTCTCTTATCGATGTTTCTAACTCTCTATTTCTATCTCTCTCCTTTCCTCTCTGTAAAAAATCAATAAAATATATTTAAAAAAAATAAAATAAAAAAAGTTTTCAAAAAAAATAAATAAATAAAAGATCTGTAAGGTATGGAAAACTTTCATGAAAGAGCTAGTCAACTTTAGAGTCACCAGCTTAATATATTTATATTATAGGAAAACCCATACATCCAAATGTAAATCTTACTTTGATAAGGAAGCTACTAGTGATAAAAAGCTTTTTTTTTTTTAAAGGTACATGTGGCCCTGGTTCAGTGGTTGGAGTGTTGGCTTGTGTATCAAAGGGTTGCGGGTTCAATTCCTGGTTAAGGGCATGTACCTATTTGCAGGTTCAATCCCCAGCCTGTGTGGGCGGCTACTAATCGATCTCTTTCTCTCTCTCTCTCTCTCTCTCTCTCTCTCTCTCTCTTTCTCTCTTTCTCTCTCTCTGTCTCTCGCAGTCTCTCCCAACCCCTCTTGCCCTCCCCTCCCCTCTCTCTAAAAATCAATGGAAAAATATTCTTGGGTGAGGATAAAAAGAAAAGACTATGTGTGAGGTTGAAATGTACTGGTTTAAATAGGAATTTCCCGTATATACAAGAAGTCTTGGGAAAAGACCCTTTTGGTTTAAACTATAACAGTGTCCTCGTTTCTTTACAGACATTACAATGGCAAAATCAGCAAAGTTAATTCAGCAACAGCTTGAGAAAGAGCTGTAAGTATGAATAAGTTCCCTTGGTTAATATCTGAATGGCAGCTATGCTGGGTATAATATTCTTGGTTGACAGTTATTTTCTTTCAGCATTTTGAATATATCATCCCACTCTCTACTTATTGACCTGCAAGGTTTTAGTCTTACAGGGTTTTTCCTTGTTTGTGACAATTGGCTTTTGTCTTGCTGCTTTCAAATTTCTCTTCCTTCTAAAATTGCATGTTCATCATCTCTTCCCATACTCTTCATGCTCACTCTCCTGAGACTACATATTGTTTATCATTAGGTTACTGAGGTTGAAACAAGTAGATGATTCGGTGTATCTAAATATTCTGTTGTAATTGTTGGAAATTATCTTTAGGAAAAAAATATATTATTTGTATATTCCTTTTTTAGTCCCAAGTTTTTCCATGTTTAAAACACACTTTCCTTAGTCCATTTGCTGTTCACTCTAAGCCATAGAAAACGACCCAGAAGGAAATGCTGTATTGTAATGAAGTAAAAATGTTAGTGAGAATTAGGGGTTTATCCTTTTAAGTTTTTTATTATAAAATATCATATACAAAGGAAAATATATCACATATATGAGTTTAAAGAATATTAAAATGAATATCCATTAACCCACCACCTTGCTTAGGTCCTCCTTCCCAAAAGCTATAGGCCCTATGTGCTCTTCCCAAATGCTTTTCCCTATTTTCCTCAAGAGGTAGGTAATATTTTTATTTTGTATTTGTTTTTTAAATACTTTTTCCATAGGTGTGTGTGTCTTTCTAAACAAGGTAGTGTTTAGTTTTTCCAGTAGATTCTTCAAGAATGTTCATGCTATGTTACAGCAGGAAAAAATGCTTTATTTTATAAGAAAGTAGAAAATAAAGCATTTAGATAGCAGAAAGGGTGGGAGTAGAGACCCATGCATAAACAATGCACTGTTTATTAGGGCCAGCAGGTGGCAGTAAGGCGATTTAAATTGTGAGGGTTTTAATGGTTAAATAGGTTGAAGAATAGTAATTGTGCCCAAATAGGATATGAGAATCTGGATTTTGTGGATTTCTAAGCTCTATATCCAAAAGACTAAAGATAAATATAATTACCATATCTACCCACACTTAAATTTCAGAAACTTACATTTTTATAACATGTAGAGCATATATTTAAAAAATACATACATACAGGGTATCCCAAAAAGTTGTATACACACTTTAGCAGCTGATAGCTCAATTTTGAAAATGAAATGTATTTTAATAAACATTGCATTTATAATTAATTCAAAGCTTGTGTATACATTTTTGGGAGGGGGGACACCCTGTATTTAAAAATGGCATCATGCAGGAGAGCCTGGTGGATGGGGCACTGGGCTGAAAGGAGGCTGCTGTGACCTGGGCCCTTTACTGCTGTCATCTAGCATGTAAGGTTGGGCCCCATCTCACCTTTTTATCCAGGAGAGTGATTTATAAATGCACAGGATTATTCAACAGTCATGATAGCATCATTAGCAGTTTTATGACTAAGTATCTAAATGAGTGCTGAAATATTTAGGAAGTATCTTGATTTCCTAAAGGCCTTTACTTGTGATGTTAAAAATTAAACTCTTTGCTTCCTGACTTTTTTTCGTTTTGCCTCACAGCAACACTTTACGAGTCACCCGCTCTGCGGCCCCCAGCACACTGGACAGTTCCAGCGCAGCCCCTGCTCAGCTGGGAAAGAAAGGCAAAGAATTTGAATTCTCGCAGTTGCCCCTCAAAGTGGAGTTCGTGGAGTGTAGTGCCAAGGGTGGAAGAGGGGACGCCAGCTCTGCTGATATCCAGGACTTGGAGAAGTGGCTGGCTAAGATTGCCTGAGGGGCGAACCCAGGCACCCAGCTGTGAATGTGTATGTGGTGACGGACAGTTTTGGAAAAGGGTATAGTTAGAAACATTTCCTTGTTCTGGAAACAAGTTACTGTAGAATTTCAGCCTGGAGTTTTTTTTAAAAGTCCAGTTCCCCTTATTGCTTTCAAACTTGTCACTTTTATTGACTCGTATGCCTTCCCCTTGTTAAAGTGTATGTGATGTCCCGTTAGTGTGTGCCTGATGTTCGTCTTTGTGACCATGACAAGCAGACTCCACGTAGAGAAGATCATGAGAACATGGTTACCATCTGAAAAGTTTTTTTTATCTTGTGCTTTGGTCCCTTTTTCCTGGAAACAAACCTCTGTGTATGGAACTAGTTAATTTCCAATTACCCTTGAGGTTCATGGACAGTATATCATTTAGTCCTTTTGAACTCTCAGTTTTGTATGTACAATTACAATATGGTCTCCCGACATGTGGAGACAGATATAAAGCAGCAAGGCTGTGTTGACAGTGGGTCTGTCCTTCATCAGCTCAGTGACTTGTCCACACTCCACCCTCATAGCATTTAAGTTTCCAAAACATGTGACGAACCCTTGGAATTAATCATTCCCAAGTGATAGAACTGTAAGTGCTATTTTGCCAAATGCCAAGGGTATAGTGGTTTCCCCTAACGGGGAGTACATGGAGATTTAGAAGCCGTTCTGCTTTCTGGGTGGCTGAAGGCTCCTGAGCTATCTTCATGTGCTGTTTGATCAGCTCCTGTTGTGTACTCTTAGCTAGAATGCCGTGGAACAAATGCAAAATGAAAAACGTCCTCTGGATTTTTAATGTGTATTTCACTGACATTAAGAAAAACGGCCTTTTCAAAGTGATTATTTGCTGTCTTCTTAAATGTATGGATTTTATAAATTATTAATACATTTCTTGGTAAGTAAAACAGCCTGTTTAGCTCAAAGTGATTAAGTAGCATGGTATAGTGAGTACAGATGGGAGTGTGTATTAGATTCAGGCCTAACTGTAAGTTTCCAGGGCCTAAAGATTGCAGTGTACACTGGACAGACTCTCCTATCCTTGCTTCACACACCGAGGGCCCAGCCCCACTATCGCCTAAAAGGAAACAAGGGTGGCGTGAATATGTGGGGAGCTAACCCCAGAACAGTGTGGTAAGAGCCGTACAGGAGAGGTCTAGGGTGCTCTGGGAGCACGCAGCAGGAGCACCTAACCTGGCTTGGAGGGATCAGGGAGAGTCAAAGAATAAAAGCAAATGGAGCTGACAGCGTCCCAGTGAGTGTGGTCCCCGTGTACACACTCTAGCTCCCCTGCCCCAGACTCTGTGTCACACACCTGCTGCTCATGTATGAAATAAATGCAAGCTGAGACAAGACGACGACAGACCTTGACCCTGGCAGAGTTCTTCCTGAAAGCCTCATTGCTTCTGGTGCCCTTCCTGTCCTTTGTAGTGCTAGTTGTGCCCTTTCCTTACTCCCCAAGTAGTAATGTAAGGAAGTAGGTAAGAACAGTGAACCAGAAATCAGAGAGGAATGTGATAAATGACGTGTTCGCATCATCAGATGCGCATGTGGGTACAAATCAATGGCGTGGTGCTGCTGTGAAGAGGCCTGGGTTCTCTCAGATTTGTTTTTTCTCTCTGGTTAATAAAGTCTTTTACTTTATTGGAGGAAGCATAACACTGATTGCAGAAGGGGAGCAATGGTGAATTTTACTCAAGCCTAAAGAAGGTTGTCTGAAGAAGGCAAGTTCTGTCTCGGTGATTCTCTGATGTGTGTGCATGAGAATTCTGTGATGCATGGTGAACAGCCGACCTGAGGACCCTGCTCCGAAACATTCAGTGTGATAGCAGATCTGGTGTGGCCTCAGGAATCGACATACTTAACATGCCCTTTACAGGCACAGGGGCCCCTGGGAGCATCCTCAGAGTGATCTGGTCGGGAGAGTGCCTTTAGCATGTTTGTTTTTTAAGTGCTTTGGGCCACAAGCCCTGCTTAGTTTTTCTAACGGTGAAGTAAGAAGCAGGGTACAGACCCCTCCTGGGCCCTCTTCTGCTTCCTTCTCCACTACAGTCTTTTCATACTCGTGGGTTGGGCCAGGATGAGGTCATGGAGACTGGTCCATGGGAGTTGGAAAGGGGTTTTGGTGGAAGGACAAATGTGTTCTTTACCTTGGTGGTATCCTCCTGGCCGTGAAGCCATTCAGCCAATGTAGACCTACTCCATCATGAGATGGGAGGCAGGTGTGGCCAGAGTGGCATGAGGAATGTCAGGTCACGGGGACTGACAGACTAGGCACGACTCCACATCATAGTGGAGACACTTGTAGCTTGAAACACCTTGGGAACAGCAGTGCCTGAGCTGCTGGGGCGGGGGGGGGGGGGGGGGGGGGCGACTGTTCCCTCCTATGGGAGAGGTGCAGGCCACAGTGAGGAGCCACTGTGCAGGGGCAGCTGCGATGAATAAGCCCTGGGCACTCCATTGGTAATCACTGCCTGCTTCTGGAATGGAATCCTCCAGGGGCACGGAGCCCATGTGCAGACAGACCAAGGGGTCTAGGCCCCGGTCCCGCTGTTCTCTATTCTAGCCCTTTGTTCAGGCCCCTTTTGCAAGGGTTCCGGGGCCTTGGAATTAGGTTCCAGGTCCCTTCCATACCATGTGCCTGCCAGTTTCCTGGGGTCCTGGCTCCTGATCAACAACAGATGCTGTTGGGGAGTCCCTAGGGTTTTCCACTTACCTTCTCCCACAGCCTCTGTCCCAGTGCCTCCTGGGAATCCAGTGGTCTTGCTGAGCGTGAGGCACTTGGCCATGGTCCGTTGTCTTAAGATCATTTCAGCCAGAATGTTGTGTTGCTGCTTTTTAAAAAAAGACTTGAGTTTAGTACAGAATTGTCAAAGCTTCAGTTGGTTTATGCCCATTCTCACCTGAAAGATATTAAGATGCTTACCTCTTCTTTCAACCCTTCACATAGTTAAAGTCGATTACTACCCTGGCTTTTGTGCAGGAAAGTAATCATAATCCTACTCTCTTTCCAACTATAATTGTTGATTGCTCACAAGAGCCTTGTATGGCATTCATTCATTCAGAAAACACCAAGCCCTGTGCCGGGCTCTAGGCATAGAGACTGCAGCACAATTCCTGCTTCTCGAGGTATACAGTCCCATTCTAAGGTGAAAAACAACGTGCCCTTTCTTTGTGGCTCCCCTCTCTTCCCTCATCTCATCAGCGTGACCTCCACTGGCTCTGCTGGTCCCTGAGCACCCTGTGGCCAGTCGTAGGGCTGCCACTTCTTCCTATGGGTTGTGTCTCAGTGCCTCTGGGAGTTCCAGCGTGTCCCTGTGGTCCTGTTAGCATGAGATACTTGTGTTGACTTAAGATCATTTTGTTTCAACTGAGCTAGGCTTTTTCTTTAAAAATTAGAGGTTAGCATTAGGATTATCAAAGTTCTTGGATAGTCCTGCGTGTAACGCCATTCTCAGATTATGCACCCCCTCTGCTGTCTTAAGTCATGTTGCCGGGAATACTGTAATCTTGGGGAATTTACGGTTCACCTTAAATTCTTGGAACAGCATTACTCTGCCTTTCATCAAGTCCGTACCAGCATGTGCACATACCCCCAAACCTCTGCTTCACATTTTACATCTGGCAGCCAGTACAAGGTAGGCTAATTGGGCAGGGACATCTATTTCCTGTTCCTCCTCATCAGAGATGGTTTCTTCAAGGTGGCAGATGGGAGGTGGTTCCAGAAACTTCAGAACCTTGAAAGGGGGAAGATAATGGGTGAGGTTGAACTTGGAAGAGTAAGACCTGGTGAACTTGCCTCAGGATCCCTGGCCTTTGCAGGTCAGGGCAATTCCATGCCTGACCACGGCCTTCATGTTGATTTTGGATGGATCCCACCACTCTCCTGGCCTCAGGGCGTCTTTTAGTCTGAAGATGACTGAGACCTGAAGGGCTTCAGAAATGTCCTGTAATAGGTGTGGGGTGACGTCGGAGGTGGCATGTGGCACCTTGGTGTCCCCTGAAAGGTTGATTATGGTTCACCTTAAATTCTTGCCTCTACATGGCTTCCTGGAAATCATCAGAAGGAAGAGAGATCCAGCCCCTGCACCCACCCTTGATCACCCCTAGCCCTGGCCAGCGGGGAGCAGGGAAGACAGAAGACACATACACTGAGTCTTAGTTCTGCCTGGAGTTTCCCTGTCCATCAGCCTTTAGGCAGAATGGAGGTTATGGAAGTGAGTGTGTCCTACCTTTGCCCCCTCTGAGCTGGTGGAGAGCCCAGGTGAGGAGGAGGAAGGAAGAAGCAGAGGGCTTTGGGTAGTGGACAGACATATAGGAGAGTCTTTGTGGAGCATGTACTTGAATACTTTTTCACACACCACACCCTCCCCAGAGCCCCTCCCCTGCCCCATATATGATTGCACCACTTAGAAATATTAGACAAGAAGCTTTGTGTTGAGAATTAGGACAGTTTATTGTTTGATCAACATGCTGAATCTTCCACATTTTACACAGTTTTATGTAAAGTCAGTGTGGCCGTTTATGCCTGCTGAGCCAGCAAGAGATGGAAATGCCACCCTCCATGATCCTCATGGCTAGTCCCTTCCTGGGGTGGGTGAGGAAAGTGAGGGGGAGTTGATGCACACCGTGATAGGAACTGGCTTTTGATGTATAGACACTTCCCGCTGGAAGGAAGCACCCAAACCCCACTGCCGCCAGCATCACCCACACAGGGCTGGCATCCAGGGAGTTCACACATTGAGAGCCCAAGGTTTTGGAACACCTAAACAGTTCAAACAAAAACTCAAAGGGTGCCCTAGTCTGTGGATGCCCACAACCATCAGAGTGGAGCTGGGGACTGGCCCTTCTTTGCAATGGAGGAGCCTGAAATGTACGTGGATTCTTTCCTGGCTCACTCAGATACTGGAGAGAATCTCACGTCCCAACCAGAGTAGAGAGTCTGATGAACATCCATGCGCAGCAGCCCTTTATGTGCAGGTACACAGTCGCGTTTGTACACACGGGTGGCGGATGGAGATGGAAACATCCTGGTTCTGACTGCTTCTGACCTGCTGGGTGACTAAGGAAGTCACCCTTCTCTGTCTTGGTTTTCCTGCCTGTGAAACAGGAAGGGTTTGAGACCTCTGCCTCACACCGCTGTAGCCGGGTGACAATGCCTCACATTCTTGGGGAAGAGGTAGTTTGGAAACTAGTGAGCATACAACCCGGCTTGGTTGATGCAGACAGACAGACTTCTACTTAGCTGCCCCTCATGCGGCTCAGACACGCCTCACAGTCCTCGGCTGCCTGTTCTCACATTCTGATGTCCTCACCTGCCTTCGCTGTGTGAAGGAATGAGGCTACTCTGCCTGCAGGACACCGAAGCCAGCGGTGTCATAGTTGTCACATCTGGTCCCTGAGGGCAGGGGCTCCAGCACTGGCCGCCATCAAGATGTGTCTGCATCTGTAGCTACCACCATTGCAAGCCTTGTTTCTGTTGCCTGAGACACTTGAACTGACCTGGCCATCGCTCCTCGGACCGGGGAACATTACAGAATTTTGGAGGATGCTGACAGGAAGGGAGCAGTGATGGGAAGAGAGTGGTGACTGTGAGAGCAGGGGGGCCTCTGGCAAAAGAAACTTGCTTATATTCAGTCAGCAAGCAAGCTGACCCTGGACGACACAACTGCACCTCTAGCGCTCAAGATGCTCCCGTCACACTTTCAATCTGTCGCATGCACATTTCAACATGCAGCTGCTTTTCCGTCTTAGGCTCAGGTTTTCAGTGCCTGCGAAACAGGAGCTTTACCGACAGTTTTTCTTTGACATCCCCAAGGGGGGGGGGGGGAGAGGGCCTAAAGAAGATGACTCCACTCATCTCCCAAGTCAGGGCTAGTCTTGGAGGAGAGGGACTGAACTACTGGTAAACAGATCATTACCCAAAAGGAGTCCTCCACTTTGCCGTGTACTAGCCCATCAGGATTCAGCAAAGATGTCAGTCACTGGGGATGCCGAGGCCATGCCAAGACCTAACCTGGTCATTTCATTATTGAGCCTAAACTCTCTGAGTTGAGATCCTACCTCTAAGCAAGAGGACAGTGATGGCACCTGGCTGCTGAACGTGAGGGCCAAAGAACAGTGCACTTCTGTGCAAGAGCTCTGGCTGCCCTAACAGGAGCCAGGAAATGCGGGGAGAAAGGAGGGACCTGGAATGGAATGGCACCACCGAGATGGGAGGACAAGATGGGGCAACAGCCCTCACCTTCAGAGGCCCACAGGGCTGGGGAGAGCCTGGACTCCAAAGAGGGGGTGTTGTACCTGCTACGAAAGGCGGGGCTCACAGAGGCCACATCAAAGCAAACAGTCTTGTTGAACCGGTTTGGCTCAGTGGATAGAGCCTCGGCCTGCCGACTCAGGGGTCCCGGGCTCGATTTCGGTCAAGGGCATGTACCTTGGTTGCGGGCACATACCCACTGGGGGGCGTGCAAGAGGCAGCTGATCGATCTCTCTCATCGATGTTTCTGGCTCTCTATCCCTCTCCCTTCTTCTCTGTAAAAAAATCAATAAAATAGATTTAAAAAAAAAAAGCAAACAGTTTTTATTGTGTCTCTTCCTGGTCCTGATGGAACAGAGTTCATGGTGCCTTGGATACGTGTGCACAT